AGACGTAGATGTGCGACGTCCTATGTATGGACATCGCTCGGTCTTAAAAATCTCATAATAAGAAATGGCAACGGTATAGAGAAGGGCCCCAGTTAATTGTGAGTAGACTGTGGATCGTGTCATAGGGGGTTTTATACTGGCATACATTTGCAGGCTGTTGCAGAAATTGCACTGCCAACAACGATTACTTCCCACAATCTCACATCTTAACTCAGAATCCATTATTTAGTGAAATTTACTTTTTGTTTATCGCCTAATTAATACTTTCATTTCTGTTGTCGTACAATGGCGTATGATAAGAGTTTCGACAGAAATCCGGGCAATTTCTGTGTTTTCTTTCATTTCGTCAGCTTACTCTCTGGCGTGCTGACCCACCCATAAAACGCCCTTTAAAATAAATCACGTATGACACGATCCACAGTCTGCTGACAGTTAAATCGGGTCCTTCTGTATACCGTTACCTTAGAAACTTTCTTAGAACCTAAATATACGATTTCTAACCAAACAAGCAAAATAGAGCACATTTTGTGCATGTTTTCCATAAACAATATTTGAATTAAAAGACCATCGAAAATTAGAGTGAAAATACATGTTACATATGTAGCCATTTTTTGCCGAGTGTGGCTTCTATACGAGGTCGAAAAGAAGTGCATTCAAAAGCCGACATCCTGGCGAGTCCGAACTACTATGGGATTATGCCGCTTGTTAAGTAACATTAGAAGCCCACCTAAGTAATCCTTCGTAATCGAAGACGCATTTCAGAATTTCGACCAACATTTCATCAGATCGGTCACGCACGGTAATTGAAACTGAACTGAAAGTCTTCCATCTACATCCTCATTGTTGAAACGCTTGCATATTCATTCTACCGAAATCCTGCTAAAGCACACTGATAATCTTGTATTTTATCAGACTTAAGGATCCTTAGAAGGTTTGTGTGTCAATCAGGCTTTTACTACTGCTTAACTTCTAGTACTAACCTGCTAGTAGACACTATCAAATACTTACCTGAAAACGGTAGCATATTAGTGGAAGGAATTGAGCTTTCAGTGGTTCCTTTCTTCAAGTTAAGGCTGGAAAGACTTCAGACTGTCAGCTTCTCTTGATTTTACGATGTGTTCATCAACCTTTGAACTGTCCAACGTAGCATTTTACTTCACAAGACTTTAACTGCCCTGCATTAAGGCAGAACTAATACGCTGCAACGGAATCGTAGGTCTTAAGTGCAGATATACACGTCATATCAACCTTTGGAATGCCTTATTCAAGCCCTGAACTAGTGTCCTCTTAATTCGGCCTTTTTGCCCAAAGTTAATATTCAGTACTTCCCCAAGTTCTTGGCTATAAGACTGAATATAGTGAGATAATATATATATATATATATATATGGATATAGGCAAAAATGCTGACCCCAGGTGTTAATATGGAAGAGGAGGATGAGGCGATCTCTGGGGACTCGAATAGCCATTTGTGGCCTGTTAACCGTCGACAGCCAGTCATACCCAACCCCGTGGTGTGGCACATCCGAGGCTCGAACTCGCGTCCTGTTTGTTAGAAGTCCACGCCTCTAACCACTGAGCCACGAGCCCGTTGTCCTGTCGGTTTCGATCGGGAATATACAATGGTAGGGGGCGCTCACCGATCGTTCTTACGGAACGCACCCGTTCCGTTGTGCCTTATGGACTCAGTGCCACTCAGTCGACACTTTGTCTTACGACGGCTTGGTGTAAACAGCTCGAAAATTTACGAGTAAAACTCTATTTTTGACGAACTTCTTCCTTTCCTCATATCATCTCGGAACGCATACTACTTCAGTTATTCAATATATAATGTCGGTAATATCATTCTGTCTATATCATGCGCCGCTGTGCGGCTGCTGTTTGGGCTCGAGAGAGAGAGAGCCCGTAAGGCACAACGGAACGAGTGAGTTCCCCAAGAACGGTCGGTGAGCACCCCCCTACCATTGTATATTCCCGATCGAAAACTGACAGGGCAACGGGCTCGTGGCCCAGTGGTTAGAGGCGTAGAATTCTAAATAACAGGTCGCGAGTTCGAGCCTCGAGTGTGTCACACTTCGGGATTGGGTATGACGGGCCGACGACGGCTAATAAGCCAGAAATGGCCATTCCAGTCTCCCTTGTCTTTGTCGGCTCAATCTCATATATATATATATATATATATATATGGAAAGGTAATACCGACAAAGACAAGGGAGACCGGAATGGCCATTTCTGGCTTATTAGCCGTCATCAGCCAGTCATACCCAACCCCAAGTGTGGATCACTTGAGATTCGAACCCGGGATCTTTGGTCATGGAGTTGAACGCTCTACCATTGAGCCACGGGCCCGTTGTCCTGTCGGTTGTGATCGGGAATATTAATTATGATAGTGGGCGCTCACCGATCAGGTTACGGAACATGCTCGTTCCGTTGTGCCTTGGGGCTCATACTTAAACCCTCGCAGGCAGTCGCACAGCGACTAGTGATATATGTTGGAAAGGTAATACCGACAAAGACAAGGGAGACCGGAATGGCCATTTCTGGCTTATTAGCCGTCATCAGCCAGTCATACCCAACCCCAAGTGTGGATCACTTGAGATTCGAACCCGGGATCTTTGGTCATGGAGTTGAACGCTCTACCATTGAGCCACGGGCCCGTTGTCCTGTCGGTTGTGATCGGGAATATTAATTATGATAGTGGGCGCTCACCGATCAGGTTACGGAACATGCTCGTTCCGTTGTGCCTTGGGGCTCATACTTAAACCCTCGCAGGCAGTCGCACAGCGACTAGTGATATATGTTGGAAAGGTAATACCGACAAAGACAAGGGAGACCNCAATGGTAGAGCGTTCAACTCCATGACCAAAGATCCCGGGTTCGAATCTCAAGTGATCCACACTTGGGGTTGGGTATGACTGGCTGATGACGGCTAATAAGCCAGAAATGGCCATTCCGGTCTCCCTTGTCTTTGTCGGTATCATCTCATCTATGTCTACTACTAGTCGCTGTGCGACTGCCTGCGAGGGTTTAAGTATGAGCCCCAAGGCACAACGGAACGAGCATGTTCCGTAACCTGATCGGTGAGCGCCCACTATCATAATTAATATTCCCGATCACAACCGACAGGACAACGGGCCCGTGGCTCAATGGTAGAGCGTTCAACTCCATGACCAAAGATCCCGGGTTCGAATCTCAAGTGATCCACACTTGGGGTTGGGTATGACTGGCTGATGACGGCTAATAAGCCAGAAATGGCCATTCCGGTCTCCCTTGTCTTTGTCGGTATTACCTTTCCAACATATATCACTAGTCGCTGTGCGACTGCCTGCGAGGGTTTAAGTATGAGCCCCAAGGCACAACGGAACGAGCATGTTCCGTAACCTGATCGGTGAGCGCCCACTATCATAATATATATATATATATTACATGAGCAGCTCGCTAAGAGTGCAACAGGCCAGACGCAGACAGCTGTTTCACGGTCGTTACCGATCATCAGTACGTCATAGGCCTTATGAAGTGAGGTATATAAGCATGTCAAGTGGGCGTTTGACCCTCACTGTTGTGGTTGCACTCTTAGCGAGCTGCTCATGTATTATATGTGGTATGTGTCCTCTGACAGAGCGTTCGTTGTCGCCAGTAGCAAGCTGGCGGGCGGACAGAATGGGATCGAGTGAGATCCTAACCACAACAGTGAGGGTCAAACGCCCACTTGACATGCTTATATACCTCACTTCATAAGGCCTATGACGTACTGATGATCGGTAACGACCGTGAAACAGCTGTCTGCGTCTGGCCTGTTGCACTCTTAGCGAGCTGCTCATGTATTATATGTGGTATGTGTCCTCTGACACAGCGTTCGTTGTCGCCAGTAGCAAGCTGGCGGGCGGACAGAATGGGATCGAGTGAGATCCTAACCACAACAGTGAGGGTCAAACGCCCACTTGACATGCATATATATATATATATATTCAAAATGTATATGTTACTAATCGAATTTCTATTGAGCAGACTCTAAAAACGTCGGTGCCTGGGTATGATTAAGGCCCATGATAGACAGGGAAGGGATTTATTACTGCCAACGCTTTAGCCACCTGAGCTAACAAGGTTCTCAAGGTAATTTTCCTTTGGTTAGAAATGACAATTTTATCAGACTTGGTTATGTAGCCGTACCTGAGTTAACTAAATCCCAGCCACCTCTAATGCCCACCGGTGGTAATAGGGATTTTTACAGGCGGGGCAACGAAACGCATATGCGGCTAGGTCAAGCAGTTGTTTTTAAAATAAAAGCCATTTTGAATGCTCGGTTGTACTTTGAGTGGTTGATAAATAGTTGCCCTAACCCCTTACCCTAACCAATAACCTCAACCCCAAGAGTATTGTGTCCATCAGGTGGGGCTACATAACGACATCTTACCGACAACTTTTGAGGAAAACAGAAATACTGCAGGTACAGAAGTTCGCATATGACGACACAGCTTTAGTTTTTTGAGGTGCACAATGCCTTTGCGTGAACAGAACTGCTAAGACAAACAGCACAAGCACAGCCTTTTTAAAATAACTACTCACTACCTCTAAGGCTAAATATCCTCCAAGAAGTCAAGGCACGTATAGTATGGCTGACTGCCAACTCTTTGGTGTTTAACGAAAATTTTAGCAGTTATGTGCAGAAATCTGAAGTAATACTATTTTCCTTTTGCACTGTCCAAGATGTGACTGACCAGGACGAAGACTGGTTTTTGATATTTTGGGTGAGTACGTCTCAGGGATAAAGTTGTAACAAGGTTCACTGTCGAGGGTTTTTTGTGAATAGAAATTGGAAAATAATAAGTAGGTAAAAGCATAAGCACGTCATGTTCTGCGTACCAGAAAAATATTTCTTTTTATAAATCTACTGAGTGCTTCCGACGACAATGGGATCCACTGATCCGGCTATTCTTTTGGTTATTTTGGATTAGTAGCTATCCCATGAAAGCGTTCTGTTAAAGGTGCCACATAGCGCGAATGACCTTTCGCGAGTACCTGGAAGTTGACATGCAATCCTCAAAGAATTTCTGTCGAGGTAAGTACTTAAAGATAGTTGTCTCGCCTCTCACCGCGTGGGTGATATCGTGAGAGAGCAATCAGAGCGGGGTCGCACATTTCCACGGTTGGCACCCTTCATCTAATTTCCTTACGAATACCTCAAAGGTCCTCCTGCGGACCGGATGAATCGCCCACGAAATGGGACTTCAGTCCTCAGCAGAACTGTTGAAGTACACCGTTAAAGCTGACGTTCTGGAGACCCTATTCATCAGGGTATTGAAAATGCAGGCGCGAATCATTCATGCTTGACAGAGGGCCTAAAGGACCTGGCTCCTGAATCACACGCTGATGACTGGATTGTTGACGAGCGTCAGCCAGTTGACTCAATGCTTTCTGACACTTGCGGTGGTGACCAGGTCTGCTCGCTCATCAGCCTATTCCAGGGCCACAAACCCGGGGCTCCACCCCACAGTGATCCGACTGTCCTCCAAGGCTAGGCCTTGTATGCCCACCCCTGTGCCGTCGCGTTTGAAGACACGTGCCGACAAAGAGATGCACTGGCACCCTACTAGCACCACTTAGTTACACACGAAAAGGCATCTTTGCGGGCACAACAGAGCGTTGGCATGTGAACTCGTCAGCATCCCAGCTGCATCATTCGGCCCAGTGAGAGCTGCTCGGCAAGACAAGTGGCCCGCCACGCCTGTCACACTCTTCTCTCTCTCAATCATCTCCAAATGGTCCGATAGCTGGATGCCAGCTACCACACCCACAAGTCCAAGCTCGCATTTGATTTACTTTTTCGAGCCTGAGCTGGAGGGTGTGTGTGTGTGTGTCAAATTACATAGCCCACAGACAGGGGGTGCCAGCAAGTGCAAGGATTTGTGTGTATTTGGCAAACTAGGCCACCAGTCTGGGCTGGGTGAATTTCGAACATTGGTGTCCTGTAAATCGGAAGTGCATAGAGGACATTATGCTTGCTTTAGGCATGCCTGTTTGCGTCACCTAAGTTCGCTTCATCGGAGTAAAGTGTCAGCCTCGCCTAGAAGGCGCTGGTAAAAGTCCAAGTCGACTTATGCTTTTTTACCGATTTTTTCTCTCTCTGACCGTACAGTTTCCCCTCTATCTCTCTCTCTCTCTCTCTCTCTCTCTCTCTCGCTCTCTTGAGGCTATATCCTGGTCCGTAAATGAAGTTTCAGTTTTAATCCACCTCCTCCCAACTAAAGTCGGACGGTCTTCTGTTAAGACGCATTGGGGGGGGGAGAGGTCTATCGCTGCAGCAGGACGGAACCGTGTGATAGAAATCAAATGAGGTGACTTTCAATAGAGGTCTGATATGTGCCACATGGGCGACGTGTTGTCCACACATCTGGTCCGCCCAACAACGAAATACAATGGGTCTCTGAAAGAGCCGGCTGAAAGCGGATATTTGTTGTCTCCAGCGTTTGTGTATAATTGTTCATTTTAGACTGCCAGTCTTGAACTGTCCAGAGCTGCTGCCGCAGATGGTCACGGGTGAAGAGGTACAGTTCGGGACATCATCGAAGCCCACTAGATCAGGCATGATCGCAGTCGTACCAAGTGGAGACAACTGGGGGGGGGGTAGCGTTCAAATCACCCTGGCTGTTTCCCGTCTCCCGTCCTTAATTATTCGCAGGAATAACTGCAAAGGTAGAACTGTTCAATCAAACCGAGTAACTCAAGCACCTACAAATGCAAACATGAAGGAAATGACAGTTCGAGCTTCGTTATCGACAGTGCCTGCCGTGTGCTTCACGGCATGGTGGGTGCAGGAGCGGTGTCTAGCGCGTGAATTGGCTTATAGCGATAGTAGACTTGCGCTGTGTCCACCACACAAACTCTCTCGCCCCCCACTCTTCTGGGTCCGGTGTAAGGACAGAGCCAGACAGACTGGAGGCCAGACCGTACACAGCGACTGGCCGAGCTAAACAGCCCACCTACGCTTTCCACACACGTATGGTCTGCGCACGATAGACCAGGTTTTCCCCGAAGCTAGAGGTAGTCGACTCCGATCCCGGTTGAATGGGAATGCCATGAAGCTTACCTGAAGAGTCATTGCAGTCTGACTCTCTGTCCTGCGAGGAGAACCGAGTTATTCCATCGACTGGTAGCCTTCGAAGCCACGTCTATTGACGCACCGGGGTAGTTTAAAAGTGCGTTAGATTGTTTATAGTGTGGAGCATGCGTTGGGTCGGTGCTCACAGAGTCGGCCTCAATCACCCCTCTCTCTCTCTCTCTCCCAGGCATCAGCCTCCTGTCGGAGTCGCTCAGTCATCTGATCCTGGGACTGGAGAAGTGACTGGCGTGACAGGGCCCTCCACAGAGGTCTGCCACCGCGCCCACATTTGTGACATTTGCTATGGGTGTGCAGTCCAGTAGGACCTGCAGTACCCTCACCTGACCCTCGTTTTGAGTAAAATGCAACTCCTGAGAAGCCCGTCGTGGGCGGCACAAAAAGCATCACTCCTTTCACGTACAGTAGGTGGACTAACTCATGAAATCTCAACCGAAATTCCGAAATGCGTTTTCGTTTCGAAAAGATGAATTAAGTGGGGCTTTAAAACTAGTCAGAATGCAACATAATTCTATAATATTTCAGTTACGACAGGATACCCGCTTTCGAATGAACGTCCTCCCGGATGCATACAAAATTTTAACTCTGTACAAATGACTACTTAATTCGCGTGAAAGTTTCTCATTGGTTTTCAATGCCTCTAAAAGTCCAGTTATATTTCATAGAAAACATGCATACGAGCATTCATTCTTTTACTCATTCGGTAGACAATTACGCCTTCTTGCAATCGTATACACGACGGAAGCGAAAATTCGGTTTTCGAAAACTTTTCCAATTCCCGAATAATTTTGAACCCACTCTACCGTCACAATTGGATTCAGGGTTGCCAAACTACAAGCCGTATATTTTCCGCGTACGGAAAACCACACACTTCTCTACGGTATTAAAGGGGACACTATAGGGTTCATAAAATTAAGCAGTGGATTTGATCCATATTTTCAGCTTTAAAGGCCACGTTGGTAAATGCAGGGACATGACGATTTATGAACGACCATTTCACGGTATTTAAATGTCTCACAATTAGAAACTTTTTAAAACGAATTATGTCCCTCCTTCGAGTATAAAATTGGAAGAAGACGTAATTGTCTACCGAATGAGCAAAAGAAGGAATATTTTTATGCATGTTTTAGGGGCATCGTCAGCTTTACAAGCCACATTGGTAAATGCAAAGACATGACGATTTATGAACGACCATTTCTTAGTATTTAAAAGTCCCATAATTAGAAACTTTTCTAAAACCGAATTATGTCCCTCCTTTGAGTATAAAATTAGAAAAAGACGTGATTTTCTACCGAAAGAGTGAAAAAATGTATATTGTTGTGCATGCTTTCCATGAAATAAAATTGGATTTTTAGGGGCATCGAAAATAAATGGAAAAAATTAGTGTTACTTAAGTAGGCGTTTTTTTACACGTCCCCTCAACTTCTGTACTTGAATGAGGGGTATCCTTAGGTCTTACAAAACTGTTTCGGTTCCAGACTAATTTTGAACCCATTCAGCAATTGCGCTTGTGCTTAGGGGTTCCAAACTGCACGGCGAATGCTTTCCGTTTAAAGGAAATCCCGCATTTAGGAATTATGAAGATGTCATAAAATTTTGCAACGGATGTGGACCATGTGAACCAAATGTCTGTTACAAGCGAGCGGTCATTTCACGCCCTTGAAAAATCCCAAAATTACAAATTTTTCAAAAATGAACATTATGCTTCCTTTGAGGAGGTGATTTGCTACCAAGTGAGTACAACAAAAAATACCCCTCTGTCTGCGTTTTAGTGAATATAGTTCATTTCAAAAGTTATCGAGAACCAGTGGGGAAAATTCATGCTGTTCAAGTAGTCATTTTTACCGAGGGTGGCTTCTGCAGATCCATTCAAATGCAGATGTTCAGGCGGGAATGTGCTGCACGACAAAAAGTGTGCTAACTCATGAAATGTTAACAGAAATTCTGAAATGTGTTTTCGACTCGAAAAAATTACTTAAGTAGGGCTCTAACATTAATCACCGTGCAGCATAATCTCATAATAAATCAATTACTCCAGGATGCAAACATTCTAACGAACGTTTTTCCAGCCACTTGTAAAAACTACACTCTGCAAAAACGACTACTTATATAGTATGGATTTTCTCATCGATTTTCGATACCCTTATACATCAAAATATATTTCGTTGGAAACATGCATAAAAATATTCATTCCTTTACTTTCTTGGTAGAACATTACTTCTTCTTCAAACTATACACTTGGGGGAAGGGTATAATTCGGTTTTAAAAAAGTTTCTAATTATGAGATCTCTCAAGACCGCTAAATTCCCGTTCATAAAACATCGTGCGTATGCATTAAAAAGCGTTGCTTTTAAAGTCTGCAACATGGTTCAAATCCACTGCTAATATTTCTGAATATCATATGACCTCCTCTTAATACCGTAGAGAAATGTAGGATTTCCCTACAGGGAAAATTTACAGCCCTGAATGCGAATATAACGGCAGGTCGTGTTCAAAATTATTCAGTAACTAGAAAACTCCGTAAAAACCAAATCATGCTATTCTTTCATGTATATAATCTGAAGAAGACATAATTTTCTACCAAATGAGTATAAGAATGAATAATTTTGAGCATGTCTTCTATGAAATATATTTAGATTTATAAGCGCATCGAAAATCGATAAGAAAAATCCATACTACATAAATGGTCATTTTTTGCAGAGAGTAGTTTTTGCAGGCGGCTGAAAAAAATGTTCGCAAGTAAGCCGGCATCCTGAAGTAACTGAATTATCATGAGATTATGCTGAACGGGGATTGATATTACAGCCATAGTTAAATAATCTTCTCGAGTCGAAAACGCATTTCCGAATTTCTGTTAACATTTCATGAGTTGGTACATCTACCGTAAGTAAGCCTTTCTAATCTAAAATGAATTTCGGAATTTCGATTGGTTTTTCGTGAGATAGGCTAGCTACTATATACGACATCCCTGAGCTGATAAGCGTGAGCGAATTTAAGTAAATTTACCTGCCTGTGCCGAAGTTCACACACACACAGTTGTTCTCCGAAATACCGCCAAAGAAAAATCTCCAGATCTCAGAGGAGACCGAAGTCACACATTAAAACGCAACAGGCTTTTCACAGTCGCCGTGATTAATTGCGTCAGAAATGCCAGAAGGCGGATTTCACAAAGGGCGTAGCAATAGGTGAAGCATAAATTACACAGTCGGTCTGACACCTTCAATTTCTTGGCGTAAAGTCGAAGGGCACTTGAGAGACGAAACAAGCGCTGCGGGTGGCGTAAATCTCATGGTTGCAGAGCAGGTTTTGCGATCCCGGTAAGATGTGGTTATGAGCCGCACCTAGTGGACCGCTAAGGTTATTTTGAGTTAGTGTGGTTACATTGGCATGGTGTTCCTGTGC